GTGTGTGTGTGTGTGTGTGTGTGTGTGTGTGTGATGGAATGAGCAGAGAGTTTGGGGTTCTTTGACAACACACACTCCGGTGTTGCCAGCTCTCTGTGCTGGCAGATTTGGGCGGCTAGGATCGGACTCATACTAGCGACCCATTCTTCTTTTGTGGTTGGATAGGTTTCATTGGTTGTTTGTTTATTTACATATGGCCTAATTCTTTGCCCTGCTTTAAAGCATTGGCGTCTGTGGGTGGCCACGAGTTTTTGTTGGGGCAGAAAAATCTATGTTTGGAGTCTTGGCCACGGTATCTTCGCGAGGAGGCTCAAAGAGGGTTTTTGCTGTGGCCCGGTTGGTGTCATTCCGACGGACTGCTCTTTTGGAGCGGGAAGAAATGGGGGCTTCTAGGATGTTTTAAGCAGTGGCACTCCTGGTGTCGCATGGAGATCTTGTGGTGTTTGGTATAGTTTCGCGCAGTGGCCTCACTGTAGCACTACAGGATCTTTGATACTGGAGATTGTACGGCGGGGGGGAGGTTTGGCTCTCTTGGTGTTGTATAGATGCCCTGTGGTGTTTTTTTAATCTATGGTGGCTTTGTGGACCAACTCAGAGGGCTCCCTTAAGTTCTTTTCAGACCCTCATTCCTTTTGTGGGCTGACTCAGAGGGGTCCCTTAAGTGTTTTTCAGACCTCATTCCTTTCGTGGGCCGACTCAGAGGGCTCCCTTAAGTCCTTTTCAGACCAATTGTGAGCGTGATCCGTGCTTTCGCGATAGTGGAGGTTGTGGCATCAGGGACTTATTTCTGTTATAAGGCTTCTCTCATTTGAGCTCAACAGATTTTCAATGCAATGGAGGGCCTCTCAGCCCTGGCCTACTGGCTGATCCCTTCCTGTCTCAAATATAGTAGAGACCTGAGATGCACTCCCTCCAACAGAGGGTGCAGGTGCTGCAGAGGGATGAACCCCTCTTTTTTTTTTTTTCTTTTTTTTTTCTTTTTTTTTCAGAACCTCTCGGTTCCCCTCACTAAATTTCAGTGGGTGCAGCACACAGATAGGGGGACCTTGCACATGTATAGCTGGAAGTACTTCTTGCACTGTTTGACATCAAAGGTGCTGTCATGGCAGAAGTGAACCCCATCTCCTTCTTCCCTCGAATACAACGTACGGTCATTATAGGTGTATTAAGACTGAAAGATACCCCAAATACAGCTATAATGACCGTACGTTGTATTCGGGGGAAGAAGGTAGGGCCAGAGGAGCATGGCTTTTGATAACAGGGTTGACAGGTCAGATTAATGGCCCCCTATCTGGATCCCATAAATGGACCCTATCAAGGATCAAAGGACTATAGCCCCTTAATTAGGAGGTAAGAATCAAAGTACTCGACCCGATTAAGCCACCACCACTACCTCCAGGCCTCTTAGTCTCAATGCGCGAGTTTGCACAAACCTAAATCCAAACTGGTACGTGTAAAGACCTGCCGGGTGCCACCAGCCAGGAAGGTCCAGTAGGTCAGACCTTTCCAGGGCTCCGCGGGGGGGGTAGAGGTAGGGGGGTGGTGGGCACAGGCTAGCTGGGCAGCATAGTGGTGGCTTAAGGAGTATGTAACCTGTCGATAAGGGTGTCACGATTACACCCCGCGTTAACGGCCAAGGGGGATGGTAGGGTGGCGAAGAGGGTGGGGGGGGGGG